TTTTTTATCCCTTTTACTTACTTCTGAAAAAGCCTAATTTCTGCCATTCAATAGGCTTCTGAACAAATTTAAACTTTTTAAAATTATGCAAAAATGCAAAACGCTTAGCCGTGTCTCTAATAAAACCGCTGTAACTTCAGAGATGTTCATATGTTGATTAATGGTTTTCTTTCGTTTTTGATGTACTGCAGAATATTTTTATACAATCCCAGGCCAGGAAAACCACCTTCATGTTTTTTCTGTGTTTTATCTTCCATTACTTTGACACAAAGGCATCTGCTGTGATGCTCACACCTTTGATAAAGTCTTGCGTGTGTCAGCTTCCTTTTTATAGATACAAAAAATATGTAAATGTACTGATCTGAATTAGAATATTTCTGACTGTCTGAGGCAAAATTTCCCCGAATCGAATTGAATCGAATGGAATCAAATCGTGGATTGAATCGATTCGGGACCTTGTGAAGCGGAATCGAATCGATTCTACAAGTCAGTGACGATACCCAGCCCTAATCACTATACACCAGCCTGTGTGATCATCCACTTGCCAGTCGAAGAAGCCACGCCCCCTGATTTATACAGGTGAGTTTAGGAACCATCCTCCCCCCTTGGAGTTGTTATAAAGGAGGAAATTATCTATAGAGACATGATGAGATTGTGTATCAGGTTTTAAGCATGTTTATTTCTGCTTTTGTTTCTGCTAAGTTTTAACATGGCAGTTTACGGACACTGACTCACTGCTGCTACTGCTAGACTTCAGAGGAACTGCAGGGATCTGTCTGTAATTACTCTCAGTGCCAGCAGGGGGAGCTTCAGGACTAAAGTTTAAATATTTGTGCTCTAACTTTCATAAAGTGAAAATATTCCAGAGGAATGTGTGATGGGTTGAGATCTATTAAGTCGAACTGCTCAGAGATTAAATTATTGATCTTGTTTTTGACCATATTGTTTCATTTGCTGACTTCCTGTCTCTCATTGTGACGTTAAATGTTGTGGAGAGGCTCTTGTTTGTTTTTCTTCACTCAGCTGATGATGGGCGGAACTGAACCACTCCCAGCACACAAAGCTCCCTACCCCTCCCGCCGGGCTGGCTCTCTGGTGACGACAGCACTTCCTGAATCACCTGGACAGGTGAATAGCTACGGTGTTG